AAAAATTCGTTATAACTGTAATTCGTTACAATAAGGGTCATTTTATATATTGTGTTTAAAAAATTTTCTTCGTATAATGTTATACATCATTTAACTAGTATAATTGGGTATAACAAGGTTTTTTTAATATAGAATAATCTGTACCACACCAAAGATTCATTGTATTGTAAAATTCGTTATATCAAAATTCGTTGTATCAAGAGTTGACTGTACAAAAAATAGGTTCCTGTGGTAAATTTGAATTCATAGTTAATAATTCAATTCAATTTGTTAAATTTATTTTAATTAAACTTAAATTATAGAACCCATTATAATACTTTATAGTCAGCACATTTCTAAATCGTTTCACTTTGCACTAGAATTATCTGTAAGAAAAGCATCAGACCTAATTCTGAACCATATCTAAAAAAAGCATATGGAGAAAGGATTGTTTTTAACAAATTTATCATCTTTCTAATGTGATTTTAAGTTCATCAAAAGTGATGAATAACCTGAGAAATAGAGCAATGACTGTACAGCTAGTATACAAAAGAGTAATCAACATATTAAGATGTTTGAATAAAGTTGATGCATCATATAGTACAACTCACGTACCTGTGAAATCTTTTTATGTACTCGATATATGAGACCTATTATAATGCAAAGTATTAGTACTTTTCCAGTATTAGCATTAAATTCTTACAAAGCTGCTTTTCCCTAACCTGAATTATTGTATTCTTCGACTATTAACCTTAGGCATTCTAACATTAGTTTTTCATTATCCAAGTACAGTCTTGCAATATTTTTAAAAAGATGAAAAACAGTAGCATAATTTAGATTTCTAGCCTAATCTAAAAGTGTTTTTAGCAATTCTTGATTGTTTGTAACATTAAAATACAGTTCATCTTCATAAGCAAACAACGCGAAGGCAAGCGAATGCCATCCTTAAATAACTCAACAAGTTTTTCTTTGATTTCATCTTTGATATAGTGAAAACTTAATGACTCAGCTGAATTGATTATATGGTGTCAACGGAAGAAATTACAACTCCAAATATCACGTGGGATATGTCAATCAATAATGATCTCACGTTAGATAATGTCACTATTGTGCCACACAGTGATCAGCAGTAATTTCTGTTTCTTTTGTTATGTCTGTTCCCTCTGTATTTTCTATACAGTCTGTTTACCCTGTTTATTCTGTTTCGCCTGTAATTTCTTTAACGTCTG